ATCTTAACTGTATGTGCAAAATATCATTTTGAAATATGCACATGTATACATGGTTGATACAAAATGAAATCAGATATATACATATATATATGTATATATTTGTATGTAGATATAGATGTATGTATATATATTTATAAACAGTCTCTAAACATGTATATAGAAAGATACACAGATACAATGTGTGTATGTGTATATACTCTGTAGTGCCAGTGGCAGCAGTGGTTCCGGTGGTTGACTTGGCTACGTGCAAACAAAAGTATCTTAATAGTAAACGAATCACGGACGCTGTCATATGTGCAGGTGAAAACGAGGCATGCGTGGTGAGTTGGATATTTGTTCGTGTTTATAGCGTGTACTTCATTTTTTATGACAATTCAAGTAAATAAGTGAATCATTGAATAAGGAAAACATATACAGTTGCCTGCGCTTATACATGACACATCCTATTTTCGGTGAACAGTAGAAGTGGCAACTGTGTGATTGTTTACATTCTCGAACTACAGCTCGAAAAAAAATCGTACAATCACTTAAAATGTATAAGCAAATATAAACATACACACACATACATACACACACACACATATATATAACACATATTTATATTAACATATATGTACACATATTTATGTATAAACATATATAAAAATGTATATGTGTGTGTACTTATATTTATAAACTTATGTAAACTTATGTTTATATTCATATATGTATATATATAAAATATATGTAAACTTATATGTTTATATTTGTATGTGCATGTATGTATATATATATATATATATATATATATATATATATATATATATATATATATATATATATATGTGTGTGTGTGTGTGTGTGTGTGTGTGTGTGTGTATCATATGTATATGAATATATTTATGTAAAACATCTATAAATACATGTAAGTATGCATATATGTATAGGCATATAAATGTTGAAATACACACACACACACACACACACACACACACACACACACACACACACACACACACACACACAACACACACACAACATATCACACACACACATATATATAATATATATATATATAATACATATATATATATATATTATATATATCAATACAATACATACCACACATACATACACCACACACACACAACACATACCACACACACCCACACACATCACATCACGACAGCACACCACACTAACTGACACACACACAACAACACAGCATCCACCAACACACACATCAGCGCCCACACGACACACGACACAACACTAGCACGAGCGACACACACGATTCACAAAGCACGACAAACCCAGCGGAAACAACACTACGAGCGAGCACAGCACACACACCTAAAATATTTTTTTAATAATATTTAATCTTCATATTTTGTAGTATCAAGAGGTCTTTATTATATCCTCTAATTGATATTTTTTGTACTTACTGCGTGATGGATAATACATATGCACCGGACACGCACTACACAAGCACCAACGCACGCAACACAACCCCAGCAACGAACAACAGTCACACGACGACCACGACACAATCGAGGGTCAACACGCTATCAGCACACACATCTATAAAGCACACACGTCAACAACTTCACCAACACAATACTAAATTACATTACACATACACTCATTGTCATTAATCATTAATCCGTACTATGTTTATTAGATCTGATTTCCCTATGGTAAGAATACATAAAATAAAGTAGTAGATGCGTAGACCCCAATTAGAGCACTGAATCACTTAGATGAACGCTGGGAATCATGATGTAGCACGGCTATATGAATGTGGTGTTTTGGTCTAACAGCAATATTGGCGTTATGATAGAGTCTTTTGGCGATCGTGCATACGTCTACAAGTTAGTAATATTGTCGCACCCGTCGAAACCCAAGAATTTATTTTTTGTTTTCATGGAGACCCAAACATCAAATAATAGTCAACTAATTTCTTGTTAGTATTGTGTCAGGTCCAACGGTGTGATGTAGTGGGGTTAGTTTGACTCATTGGCCGTTAATTTGATTCGCAAGACTCTCCACCACACCCTATTACTCAACAGTATTTAAACCAGACCCTCCTTGTAATATGAATTTGTGATTTTCTTTAGTAGAACATGTTATCATGGCAACCCCTTCCTATTCTTAGTTTCTGAACTTGGGCATTTGCTTAAATTCCATACACTTCTCACCGTCACTATCCTGTTAGCCAATAAATAATCATATTATCTATAACCAATACTGTGTACTTATATTTATTTTAGTGTTCTTGTGTACATAATTAATAAACGTAATTGTGCACAGCTTTCAGAAACAAGTGATTAATGACCCAGTTATTTGAGTAAAACCACACGTCTTCCGTCCAATATGCTCTTGACTTTAATCCATGCTCCATAGCGCGTATCTCACGCGTACGACGCATTGTTAAAAACCAACCGCAAGAGATTGCCTCTCCATCCTAAAATGGAGTCACACTCAATTGATGTTATTTAAATATGTGCATGCGTGAGGACTGTTTACAGTACCTGAGTAAATTAATTAAATATGTATTTGCATGTCTTTTAGCGACTGATGTAATAATCAGGTCAAGCAACTGGCTCTACCGCTCTTGTCGTCACCTAATCACGCGCTCCCCAAAAGAGAGAACGACCTAGAGTAGAACATTATAATCTCAGTCACATGTTCAAGCAGCTACAAATACAGTTAACATAGGAATTACTCCTGAGAACCAGCCATAATGTATATGTATCGTGGATCGATTATAAGCAAAGATTCTACCAAGTGACCTCACATTCCTGTCATTCACGGAATGCTGATGTGATACTAATCGCAAAAAAATCATAACGGAAAATATTCCTATCGTATAATAGTACACCATAAAAATTGTTAACCTATAGAAATGTCTGAACTAAATTCATTCAATTAAAATGGTGTTCGTGTGTATAAGTATAAAAAGATACGTTGCATTTGCTGTGCTTCGAGTTATAATCGTAGTGCTCTTAGCCTGACTTATCCCCTTGACTCATTCCCGCATTTGGCCCCGTCATTGTAGGTAGCCACGTACTGCGTTACTTACATTACTACTGTGATGATAAATAAATATATAGATATAAGTATATAATATTAATTTGGTCGCCCTATATATAAAGAAGATATTAAGAGGAGAATAAAATGCAACTGTAATATAATACTATACATGCTGTATATTTACTACTAGTAAGGTCATATTATCAGATAATACTATTATATAATCTAGCTTCCATGTTTACCTAGTGTGTAAGCGAGTGCGTCCTCGCATCAACTATACTTCCGACGTCAACAGCTAAACAGATTCTTATACGTGTGGTTTTAGGCTATCGCGGCGTTTGTGTTCGATAAGATGTTACTCTGCGTGATGATTTCGAGAATAAATTCTGAATGACGGTATACTACAATCGAGGCGTTCGAGGTATATCTATACCTATAGCTGGATTAAATGACATACCATTCAGCATATGATAGAAGTATTTTAAAACAAGCTGGAGTCGTCACTTATCCAGTATTTGAGAAATTTATTTTAGGATAAATAATGCATTGTTAATCTTACATCGCTGTTGCTTTTCTGCGTCGCTGAGTTTCATACTGGTGAATATATATTTCATCTGATTGGATTTAAACCAAGATTCTAGCTTTTCACCATGGGAACTTGCCAGAATCTTTCGCATAAAGATGCTATGAGTCAGGAATCTTATATGTTATTTAAATAAATACTAGATTTATTCAAGTGTTTATGCTTTTTTACTATCACAATAATCTATTTATTCCGACTGAGATCTAGTGATGGCGAACTGCAAAGTAAATAATGCGAGGATCTTACGATGTATAATTATTATATTAATACATATACTACCATTTAATACAGTATAATTATATATAATATATTATATAACCTACCGTATATTAATATTATATAACAATGCATATGTACACGTATATATAATATATATATATATAATTAGTTATTTACATGTATTAATAAACTTCATAATATATGTGTAGTATGTAATATATGTATAATTAACTTAATATATATATAGTATTAATATATATCTTATTATATATATTAAATATTATATTAATTAATATATGTATTATATATAATATAAATAATACATAATATAATATATATATATTATATATATATTATTAATATATTTATATACTATATATATATTACGATATATATATATATATATATTATATATATAACATTGCATATCCGTACTATTAATATATAACTTTAATATATATGTTAGATACGTATATACTTATATAAGAATAAATATATGTATATAACCTATTATTAATATAATATATATATTATATATAATAATATATATATATAGCAGTTATACATTATACATTATACATATATTATCATATCTATATAATATATAATCGAGTATATATATATATATATAATTATATAATAATATATATATATAATATATATATATATAGTTATATAATATAGTATATCTTCGTCCACTCTGCTGTATATTTGTTTGTGTGAGGTAAATAAAAATAAGTATATATATATAATACGTATTAATTATATATATAGTTATATATATAATATTATATATGTATTTTACTATTATTATTTAAATATAATAATATTACGTAGCATGTTATGTACTAATACATATTATATAATAATTAACTATATATATATATATATATTATATATATATATATATATATTATCTATTATAATATACTATTAATTATATTTATTATACACCATAGATCACACATGATCATTCGAATCACTACTGTGTATTGATGTGTGTTAGTTTAGACTAATATATAACGTATATATATTATAAATATACATATATATAATATATTAATATATATTAATATATATATTAATAAGTATATATATATTAATATATATTTATATAGTGTATTAATATAATCTATATAATAGATGTTATATATGTATATATTAATATATATTAGTATATTATTTA